GTGTGCGTGTGAGTATGAGTGTGCGTGTGCGTGCGCGCGTGCGTGTGTGCCCATCCATGCGGACATGAGCAAGGGACATTGGCAGAGGGTGGCAGAGAGGAGGCTCCCCTCCCGCCCCCACCGGTGTGCACACGTACGCCGACAGCGCACCGCCGCCCTTCGCATGGCCATCCAGCTTGGTGATGATGACCGAGCCGACGTCCACAGCCTTCTTGAAGGCGGTGGCCTGCATCTTGGCCGCCTGGCCGATGCTGGCATCCATGACGAAAATCACCTCGTCCGGCGAGATGGCCCGCTCGATCTGGACCATTTCCTCAAAGAGGTCGGCCTCCTGCTTGTGGCGGCCCGAGGTGTCAACGATGATGATCTCGAAGTTCTGCGACTTGAACTTCTTCACACCCTCCTGGGCGATGACCACCGGGTCGGTCTCCGTGTGGCTACCGTAGTAGGGGATCTGCGCCTTGGTGGCGTTCTGTGTCAGCTGGTCGAAGGCACCGGCACGGAAGGTGTCCGCGCACACGAGCCCAGTGCGCCAGCCCTTCCGGCGGAAGTTGTAGGCCAGCTATTTCCCAGGGCCCGGGTCCCGTCCATTGGCGCCGCGCGCGCCAAGCAATGTCCGCCCGGTGGGCGGGCGGTGGAGGAAGGAGGGAGGGAGCTCGTCGGTCAGCACACCGGAGCAGAGGCGATGGCGGGGTCTCGGGGGGGGGGGGGGGCAGGCGCCGGGCCATCGGGGCCCCGAGGAGCGTGCGCACCTTGGTACAGGTGGTGGTCTTACCACTGCCCTGGAGGCCGACAAACATGATGACATTGGCCTGGCCCTTCTTCGGCTTGAAGGGCTCCACGCCTGGGTCCACCAGGTTGACCAGCTCGTTGTACACGACCTTCGGTGCGGCAAAGCCAAAAGAGAGGGAGAGGAGTAGAGGGCCAAAGGGGGACGGGCGTGCGGGCGTGCGGGCGTGCGGGCGTGCGGGCGTCAGAACGGTGGGTCGCTCCCCGCGCGGGGAAATGGGGCGGCGTCCGCGGTGGCGCACCTTCTGAATCTGGCGCTTCTTGCTGGCAGCCGAGGCGCCCGCCTCAAACTGCAGGTTCTTCTTGATGTTGTTGTTCAGGCTGGTGATCAGACCGATGTTCACATCGGAGGCCATCAAGGCCTTGGCGATGTTGTTGAGCATGGTGTTGATCATCTGGACGTGGGGGGCGGTCGAGGGCCAGCCGGATCGGTCGGGTTTTTTTTTTTTTCGGGCGAGGTTCACCATGTCAGCAAGGCGTGAGCGGGCTGTCGGGGAGGCGTGGCGAGGGAACACCCAGGCGCGCACCGGTTGGTCGATGTCATCGGAGCTGGTGATATTGCGCAGGGCGCCGGTGATGCTGCGCCCGAGGTCCGAGAGTGACATGGTGCGCGGGGAGGGGGGGACGAGGGCTGGAGGGCGCTCGCGGGGGTGGCTACAGGCGCAGGTGGTTGAGGGGAGGAGGGGAAAAAAGAAAAAAGGGGGGTGGAGGG